GGCCTGCCAGTGCGTAGGCTATGTGACATGGTGCTAAGACTGCTTGTTGCTAGAATGCTGAATAATGGTTGCTGTAAACCGCAATAATAAATGCAATTTTGAAATCCTAAATATCCAAAATGAACAAAAACATAATTTAGTTTTGAATAATTTGGTCATGAATTTGCAACAAAACGGATTGCGCCCGAATGTCATCCGGAAAAGCACGCGTGCCAAATTGGAACTTGAACCGAGCCAAACGTTGTCGCGAGATGTGTCTCGGAGCTCCTATCAAATGACTCCAACCGTGGGTCCAAATTGAATCCGGATTTTTTTACGCGAAGACAATCGAAATCAAAATTCTTCCAAACTTGGCATAGGGTTTTTTAGATGGGGGAGGTTCAGGCGGTGGCCAGCGGCAGCAGCAGCAGCGTCGGAGCGAGACCCCTTCGCCCCTAGCAGCGTCGTGAGTGGTTTGCTCAGCATGGGGCGTCTGGGGGTAGTGCTAGCTGCCCGTATGTCATTCGCACGGGTGACCGTGCAGGTCAGACATGCTAGAAGCCTCACACTCAGCACCGCGGCTTCTCCCGCCTACACGTTGCTTGGCGCGCAGAGTTTGGTGACGAGGCCGAGCGCCCCCACTAGGTAGAGCTGCTTCGGTCTGGAGTTGCTATCTTTGATCTTGACTATGATGCTATCCTTGCTGCTATGTATGCCTTGTCTGTTAGTGCTGAGGGTGAGTGATACCTATGCATCACAAAAACCCTATGCCAAGTTTGGACGAATTTTGATTTCGATTGTCTTCGCGTAAAAAAATCCGGATTCAATTTGGACCGACGGTTGGAGTCATTTGATAGGAGCTCCGAGACACATCTCGCGACAACGTTTGGCTCGGTTCAAGTTCCAATTTGGCACGCGTGGATTTCCGGATGACATTCGGGCGCAATCCGTTTTGTTGCAAATTCGTGACCAAATTATTCAAAACTAAATTATGTTTTTGTTTATTTTGGATATTGAGTATTTTTGAAATTGCATTTATTATTGCGGTTTACAACAACCATTATTCAGCATTCTACTAGCTACAATCAGTCTTAGCACCAGGTCAGATAGCCTACGCACTAGCGGGCCTTGAAAGCGCCCGGTGGGCAAGGACGACATCTCCAAGGTCGCCATCGTCGATGAGGAACTTGTTCGGAAAGACGATCGCACCCCTCGCTGGATCGTGGGGGATCCTCCGCTCCACGACAGCAAAGTGGATCATCTGTTTGACCTTTTCGCACCACTCCTCGTAGTCTGGCCTGTTCTGTTCCGGCTGGCTACCGATTCGCTTGCGACGCTTATCCTGCAGAAGGGGCCATTCGATCTGCAATGTGGTGTAGGGTTGGGTGGATGGTTTATGAGGAGGGTGGGTTGCGGGTAAATGAGCCAACTGAAAGCGGTGATTCAGTCGTCACTATCTACATAACTCCAAAGGCTTAATTGACCAGGGATTTAGCTGAAGTACAAGCAAGGGGTGAAGGGGATGAGGCATGGGGGTACAAACACATATCTACATCCTTACCGAAAACAGGCCCCATGCCACCATGCGGCTCTTGAACTTTATGAACACCGCCCCGCCCCTCTTGAAGGAGAGCTTGAACGCATAAGCGAACAAGGGGTTGCTGAAGGGCGTCCCGATGGCCTTGTCAAAGTGCCAGTTTAGGGCCCACTGTTCTGCATTTTGGCAGGGAGGGTAAGGGTTGGAAAGGGTTTTGTAGAGAAATCAAGTGGGGGGATGAGAGTCAGGGTGAGCCACATCGCACGGTGATATGTAGCTGCCAACTGGCATATGGTGTTTTCCAGTTGCACATACCATCTCTGTACTCGGCTAGGAGTTGATCGTCGTCGAACCAGGTCGTTGGGTGTGCGGAGATAACTACTACAACGGGAGCTAGACTACGGGCTAGGCACAGGTGCTCGTGTGATCTCTGCGTCCGTTGGTCCTTAGTCGTTTTCCTAGTGCACACACAGCTCGCTAGTTCACAGGGAGAATTGGCAAGAGTTTCACTAGAGAAAGTTGACAACAATGGTACAATCAGGTTGGCAAGACAAGACTACATCAGAGCTAGCACTCAAGTCGGTCGACTGCCAGCGCAGCATGGTCGACCGCGTTCCAGCAGTGCAAAGTCGACGGCGTGCCAACACTGCAGGTCAACGGCGTGCCAGCGTTGCTCCCGCAGAGCAGCAGCGCACCAGCTTCGCAGGTGCTCGCAGATGATTGACGTGCTGAGCCTCGTCACCTGCACAACGCACACACCAAGTCATCCTCGTGCTGACGACTCCACCTGATCCGCCACGTCGACCTCGGGATACCACCACCGAGGTCAGTCTCGCCAACATCGCCTGGGCGACCATCGCACTCTTCTGCAGAACCTCGCCACCCCAGGTAACCACGTCGGCCAGGTGCTCCTGTATGTGCCCGTCGACCTCCCAAGTCGACGACCACCTCCATTCGACCTCACCAGGTCGACCACACCCCTGGTCGACCAGGTCCAGGTCGACGTCACTCCTGGTCGACCAGCTCCACGTCGACCAGCACAGTCGTCAGCCGACCACCCAAGTCGGCTGCCAGAAGTCGGCGTCACCAAGTCGGCGCCGACTTCCGGGCCGACCTCTTGAAGTCGGCGACCTCCCAAGTCGGCGATTTTGCAAGTTGGCGACCTTGCAAGTCGGTGACCTTGCAAGTCGGTGACCTTGCAAGTCGGTGACCTTGCAAGTCGGTGACCTTGCAAGTCGGTGACCTTGCAAGTCGGTGACCTTGCAAGTCGACGCCGACTTCCAGGTCGACGTGCCACATCGCCGACCACCAGTTGAAGTCGTCCGCCGGCTTCCCAAGTCGGCGGCATTGCAGTGGCCCCGTGCAAGTCGACCAACCCCGTCGACCAGCTCGCCCAAGTCGGCGTCGCCCACTGCTGCAAGTTGGCGGTACCTCCCGTACACCCAACCACAAAGTCGGCTCCGCCCAAGCGAGGACGGGGGCCAACACACAACTCCCGTTGACAGGGTGTAGCTCAGTGGACGGGCTTTCCACGAGATGGTGGTAATCGTCAAGGCCCATGCCGGTGTATGCTGCTGGCCTGAGGGTGGAGTTGATAGTTGACCTTGTTGAGGACAGCTGGTGGTTGAAGACTCCCATGGTTGACTTGTCATTGTGCAACCACAGCAGCTTCATTGCCTCGAGCCCTTCTGCAGACAAGTGGACAGAGAACGCGTTGAACACTTCCTCCGGTGTAGGGTAATACTGTATTTTCTCCGGCGGGTTCAGAAACATGAGCTGAGAGCACACTAAGTAGGCTTTGTTCTGCGCAGAGGTGTAGGGTATACAACACGACATGAGAGAGAAACCAGCAGTTATGAGGGTGGCTGCGTGACCAGGGGATGGTGACTAGCAACACTGTGTGAACTTGCCACGTCACACCCTGCGCCATCCGCCATGTCCACCAACAACCCGCTCCACTTGCCACGTCACACCCCCCTACCACAAGCCACGTCACCCCCCACCCACCTGACACGCCTCGCTTCGTCATGCGCCGCTCACGTGTACCCTTTCAAACCGCCACGTCATCACCAACCCTCACCTTCTGCCACGTCACACCCTCCTGCATCCGCCACGTCCACCAACAACCCGCCCCACTTGCCACGTCACACCCCCCTACCACAAACCACGTCACCCCCCACCCACCTGACACGCCTCGCTTTGTCATGCGCCGCTCACGTGTACCCTTTCAAACTGCCACGTCATCCCCAACCCTCACCTTCCGCTACGTCACACCCTCCTGCATCCGCCACGTCCACCAACAACCCGCCCCACTTGCCACGTCACACCCCCCTACCACAAGCCACGTCACCCCCCACTCACCTGACACGCCTCGCTTCGTCATGCGCCGCTCACATGTACCCTTTCAAATCGCCACGTCATCCCCAACCCTCACCTTCCGCCACGTCACACCCTCCTGCATCCGCCACGTCCACCAACAACCTGCCCCACTTGCCACGTCACACCCCCCCACCCCAAGCCACGTCATCCCCAACCCTCACCTTAAATGCCTCGTCTCGTCATGCGCCGCTCCCTTGTACCCATCCCAATCGCCACGTCATCCCCAACCCGCACCTTCTGCGACGTCACACCCTCCTGCATCTGCCACGTCATCCCCAATCCTCACCTTCCGCCACGTCACCCTCCCCCACCCCAAGCCACGTCACCCCCCACCCACCTAACACGCCTCGCCTCATCATGCGCCGCTCCCTTATACCCTTCAAAACCGCCACGTCATCCCCAACCCCGCCCTGGTTGCCACGTCAACCCCAACCAGCCCCATTTGGCCCGCCACATACCGGGAATGGGTTTGTCTCCTGCAACACTAGCACTCGTGCCTTCTCCACGGCACTCATCGTCGGCGGGATACCTTTCATAGGCACCACTGCTTACCCCCCGGCATAACTGGCACGTGCTCCACGACGCAGGCCGAGCTGAGCAAACATGGCGTACATCTTAGACCGTAGCGCCTGGAACTCCTCCTGTGTAACAAACTGCTCGTGCTCCGCACTTTCACCTAGGGCACCCAAGAGCGGGGGAAAAGGGTGTGAAGAATCCCCCTTCTGGCCAAGGGGATCAACGTCTTCTGCAGCAGTCCCGTGTGCCCTCACACTATCACGCTGGCGGGAAAAGGGCAGCTCAGGGAAGGGATTGGCAGAAGTGCTTGGCCCTTGCCCGCGCGAAGGACCGGCGAGGGGGGAGACGGCCCTGCCCCAGACAGGAGAAGCGTGGAGCTGCCGAAATGGGTATGTGGGTGAGGCGAGTGGGGAGTGCGTGACGTGGCCTGGTGGAGGGGATTCTGATTCCTCTCCTCTTGGTGCGCCGGGTGCCCTGGCAGCGACTTTAGACGGGCCGGAGTATGGCGTGTAGAGCCTTGGGGCTCCTGTGGATAGCGGGGTAACACTCGCTCTTCCGGCCCCCTTCGTTAGCTGCATCAGTTGCACGCTTACCGGTGGCCCAATGCCTGTAACATGAGGGGCTGAGATTTATAGGGAGCAGGAGCACAGAATTAGAGTCGATTAGTTTCAATACAGGGGCACACATGCTTGCGTACGATCAGCGTTTTGAATCAAAATCAGGTTAAAACGGTTACTGTTTTGTAACAAGAGGCCTTACCTTGTTTTGTAACGGTTGCTTTGCGTCAACCTTCTCCTTCCCTGCAGGGGAGAAACAATGTGAAGAAATGTGTTAATTGGCACGGTTGAGGAGAGAGTTCAGCAGCCACGCCATGTGTATGGGCCACAGTGCTTACCTTTCAGTTGTCCCTTCGGTTTTCTTGCTGCCTGCGCCTTCTCGTTGCCACCTTTCCGTGGATTGCTTTGGCGGCCGCTGCGACGTTTACCGGCTGGTTCTTTGTTGCCGGAACCCAATGGAACCCCTTTGGCGCGGCCGCCCTTTCCTTCACCATCCCCTTTTGATCCCTGGCTCCCTTGCTTCTTACCAACTCCTTCGCTTTCGACCTTCACTTTACGCGTCTTCGGTTTGCCCGCTGCTTCGCCACGCGGGGCGTCACCCTCCCCGCGTTTTCGGGAATGGCGAGTCCGGCCCCCCACCTTCCCTGTACCACTTCCCCGTCTGCCTCGCCCGCCCCGTCCTTTCACTGCCGCCACATCCTCCTCCTCCTCCTCCTCCTCCTCCTCCTCCTCCTCCTCCTCCTCCTCCTCCTCCTCCTCTTCCTCCTCCTCCTCCTCCTCCTCCTCCTCCTCCTCCTCCTCCTCCTCCTCCTCATCATCCTCGTCGTCCCTCTCCTCCTCCTCCTCCTCCTCCTCCTCCTCCTCCTCCTCCTCCTCCTCCTCCTCCTCCTCCTCCTCCTCCTCCTCCTCCTCCTCCTCCTCCTCCTGTGCCTCCTCCTCATCCTCGTCGCCCCCCTCCTCCTCCTCCTCCTCCTCCTCCTCTTCCTCCTCCTCCTCTTCCTCCTCCTCCTCCTCCTCCTCCTCATCCCCCGCATCCCCCGCTTTCTTGCCCCTCCTTCCGCCGGATGTTCTCCTCGCTGCGGGTCGGCCCTTCTTGCGCAATGCATGACCCGTCGCCTTGCCACTTGCTTCCCTGGCGCCTCGCGTTGTCCCAACTTCTGCACCACCGGCGTCGTCAGCACCGCCTGTTTTGTGCCGCCTCTTCGACCGCGTATTGATGTCTCCAGGCACGGCGGTGTCATACTCTTCCTCCCCATCGCTCTTCCTCTGCCTACGCCTCCCACGTCCACCAGAAGGAGGAGAGCCACCTACGTCCGCGATGCTGTGTTGGAGATCCTCCATCCAATCGTGCTCCCCCGCCTTGGCCTTATCCACCACGGCAGCACAAATTTCGACCACTGTCGGCTGGAGCAGCGTCAGTCCGTGTTGGTATGCCTCCGCCTCGGACTCCTGGGTTGCGGCTTGCTTGGCGCGGGGAGCGTCGCCTTGGTTTCCTCCTGTCGCTGAGCCCTCTCTCTCCGCCAACGGGACTGCAAGACTCACGCTCCCTCGCCCCGGATCTTCTTTGCTGCCGATGGTGCCGTCGTTAGTCGGACCGGGCTCGGTTCCACCAAAGGCAACATCCGCATCTTTTTTCACGGTAGAAACACGCTTGCGTGGCGTTGGTTGCTTCCCCTTGTCTTCCGCCTTCTTCCCAGACTTCTCTTGTCCTTGCGCGGCCTTTTTTCCCGCCACTTTTTTCTGTTGAATGCCAGTCGCGGCGGACGCATTAGTAGCTTTAGATCCGCCACCACGCTCCCGATCGGTCTGAAAGGACAACCTCCTTGTCGCGCATCGTCCGACCTGTTTCTCCTCCTTTTGTTTTTGCCGAGTTGCATGTGTCATGGTTGTAGTACGAATGCTAATTTCTAACGTGCGGATGCTAATTTCTAACAATGTTGCACATACGAGCTAAACAACATTTAAAACTACAATAAATACAATCAACAACAAATTTGTTGCTAATGTAATAGTCTGGGGTTGTGGCAAGGTAGTGGGTTTGTATCATGTCACACACACAAAGAGCGTCCAGAATTATTACTTCATACAATTGAACTAAGCACTATTAGGCAATGCCACAACGGTTACGCGTTGCTGTACGAAATCTAACACGACGATCACTAGTGCCAAACGAGAAACAGTTGTGGTATGGTGTTGGATTGTGCTCAACACTTGCGTGGACCTTATAAAAGGTGCATAGAGGGTGTGGTATGAAGCACAAGGCTAACGCGCAAGTGGTGATGCGTTATCGACAGCCATGTTTAGACAGGGCGACGCTGCATCGTTCAGGCCCATGTTTTGCGAGACATGGTGAAACCGTTGTGGTATGGTGTTGGATTGGGCTCAATTCTTACATGGACCTTGTAAAAGGTGCATAAAGGGTTTACTTTGAAGCACAGGGCTAACGCGCAAGCGGTGATGCATTATCGACAGCCATGTTTAGACAGGGCGACGCTGCATCGTTCAGGCCCATGTTTTGCGCGACATGGTGAAACCGTTGTGGTATGGTGTTGGATTGGGCTCAATTCTTACACGGACCTTGAAAAAGGTGCATAAAGGGTTTGGTTTGAATCACAGGGCTAACGCGCAAGCGGTGATGCATTATCGACAGCCATGTTTAGACAGGGCGACGCTGCATCGTTCAGGCCCATGTTTTGCGCGACATGGTGAAACCGTTGTGGTATGGTGTTGGATTTGGCTCAATTCTTGCATGGACCTTGTAAAAAGTGCATAAAGGGTTTGGTTTGAAGCACCGGGCTAACGCGCAAGCGGTAATGCATTATCGACAGCCATATTTAGACAGGGCGACGCTGCATCGTTCAGGCCCATGTTTTGCACAATATGGTGAAACCGTTGTAGTATGGTGTTGGATTGGGCTCAATTCTTACATGGACCTTCTGAAAGGTGCATAAAGGGTTTGGTTTGAAGCACAGGGCTAACGCGCAAGCGGTGATGCATTATCGACAGGCATGTTTAGACAGGGCCACGCTGCATCGTTCAGGCCCATGTTTTGCGCGACATGGTGAAACCGTTGTGGTATGGTGTTGGATTGTGCTCAATACTTGCATGGACCTTATACAAGGTGCATAAAGGGAGTGGTATGAAGCAGAGGGCTAACGCATAAGCAGTGATGCGTTATCGATAGCCATGCTTATACAGGGCGACGCTGCATCGTTCACTCCCATGTGTTGCATGTCATGGTGAAACTGTTGTGGTATTGCATCCGACGACGAAACCGTTGTATTATTGTATTAGATTGGGCTCCATTCTTGCATGTTAATGCAGCACGGTGCTTTGAGGTCCCCAAAACCTCTTGTGAAGTGACGATATACATATTCGGTACATGCAACAATCTTACGGAAACACACTGAGTTCATGGGTAATACCCGTATGTTTCCATACCACACTAGAGAACTAGGAGGGTTTACAAATACTACCGTTGTCAATTAGGGGCTGTTTTTTGCAGGCCGATGAGTATGTTTGTATAATATTAATTATAATTGAATCGAGTGTCTATGTAAAATGTAACTGTACATTGTCATTACCTGGTTTGGATTAAGTCTCTAGAGGTGCGCACCACTTTGGGCTCACCTACGTGATTGCGATTTTCCCCCTATAGCTACTCGAGAAAGAATCACAGCACCAAACGGATCTCGTCCCTCTCTTCCTCATCCCCCTCGACTCTCACGCACGATTCAAAAACCCAAGTTTTGAATCAAGAGGCACGTACTTCTCACCGTGCTCGCGACGCACACTCACGACCAAGCGTGCTAAACTCCAGTGCATATGGCCCTGCTCACGTCATGGTCGCTCTAAGAGGGGGCGACACACCTTGTAGGAAAGGGAAATGCCGTGCTGTTGGCGGTCTGTATCGTGCCTTTTCACGGCCGCGCTGCTCGACCATCGTTAGCCAGACCCTAACCATCGCGCCACGCTCAAGTGCCAGTCGTGCAGAGATACAAGCCGCCATGGAGAGTTCGCGCTTTGGCGATGACCGTGTTGCAGTCACAGCCTTCGTTGACGGTGTATTTGATGCGTTCACAAACTTCAAACAGGCTAGTTGATTCATAGGCCATTTCTCCACTCTTAGACGGATCCGTAACACATGGGCTCTTTGCCAGGCGTTGTCTGCGAGTTGTGCAACAGATGGTTCCCCAATCTGGTGAGGATGTTGCTGCTAAAATTTTATAGGAAAGAATCTAGAATAGGAAAGCCATATGAATATGTAGACTCTGATGTGTTTGCACGTGTTGTCATTCCCCACTCCCATCAGGCTGGTTGAGCAGTTGCAGGCTGCCTTTCCAAAGCAGCCATCCTCTTGGTGCCTTGTGAAAACCCATCTCATGTCGCATTACGACGACTCCATTCGTCGAGCAGGTCATGTGACCAAATTCAGCACCAACATGTTTGAGCACTTGCACTGACCGTTGGTAAAGAGGATCTACCGTCGGTCCAACAAGCGCAATGTAGATGGGCAGATCATGAAGTTCCATGCTAGGCGCATTCCGGATGTGGTGCCGGTGGACGATCCTGCTGGCCGGGACACAGCCATGCGGCAGGTAAACATGTTTAGTACCTGATTGCATGGATATGAATGCAGAATGTAATAAAATCCTTATCATATGTTGGCAGGCAATTGAGACCGACACACGGACTCTTATTAAGGAGTCATACTTCCTCCCTGTGGAGTTACCAGAAGAACCCACCTCCACCAACTGGTTTGCAAGGAAGTGGGCCAAGCAACACCCTGGTGCCTAAGCTGCCCTCAAGGATGCGTTAATACGTTATGCCGGATGCGTCACCAAGATTCGAGTAAGTACTTGAATGTTTGTGCAAGCAACCATCATTTGACTGGCCAGTATTGTCAGATTTATATGCCTTAGCCTATGTAGGCTGTAGTGGGGTAGACACTAAGGGGTACAGCTTTCATATTTGTATCTCACACTTTCCTAGTTCATTCATTCCTGTTTCATTATTCACATGGTATAGAGCGGGTTCCCACATGGGACCGTTCCTTCCTAAGGGCCCACCATAAGTAACATTTTTTTTTTAGCTGCCCGAAGTGCGTCGCGCCCTGCCCTAATTTTTTTTTTCCGCGGCCCCCTAGCGGCCCCTACGCGATTCCTACGCGGCCCCTACGCGGCCCCTACCCGGCCCCTACGTGGCCCCCTGCGCGGCCCCTAATCCGCCCCTGACGCGGCCCCTAAGCCGCCCCTGACGCGGTCCCTACGCCGCCCCTACGCGGCCCCTACGTCGCCCCTGACGCTGCCCCTACGCCGCCCCTGACGCGGCCCCTAGGCCGCCCCTGACGCGGCCCCTGCGCGGCCCCTGACGCGGCCCCTACGCGGCCCCTACGCGGCCCCTACGCCGCCCCTGACGCGGCCCCTACGCCGCCCCTGCCGCGGCCCCTACGCCGCCCCTGACGCGGCCCCTACGCCGCCCCTGATGCGGCCCCTACGCCGCCCCTGACGCGGCCCCTAAGCCGCCCCTGACGCGGCCCCTACGCCGCCCCTAAACGGCCCCTACGCCGCCCCTACGCGGCCCCTACGCCGCCCCTGACGCGGCCCCTACGCCGCCCCTGACGCGGCCCCTACGCCGCCCCTAAACGGCCCGGCCCGGCCCTGTCCCTGACGCGGCCCCTACGCGGCCCCTCCGCCGCCCCTAAAAGGCCTCGGCCTCGACTCTGTCCCGGACCTGCCCCGGCCCCGACCCTGTCCCGGCCCCGTTGCTGCTCCGTCCCGGACCCTGCTCAGCCCCGACCCTGTCCCGGACCTGCCCCGGCCCCGACCCTGTCTCGGCCCCGTTGCTGCCCCGTCCCGGACCCTGCTCGGCCCCGACCCTGTCCCGGCCCTGTTCCGGCCCCGACCCAGTCCCGAACCTGTCGGCTCCGCCCCTGGTAAGAGCCTAGCCGGGCCGAGCCGCGCGGCCGACCCCCACTGCGCTGCCGAGTCGCCCTGCCGAGTCGCACTGTCCTGCCTAGCTCAGTTGCACTGCTGCCGCTGCTAGCCTGCTGCTGCTCCTATCATGGCTAGTCCTAGTCTTCTCACCTTTGATGCTGAGGGTTGAGCGGTTGCCTTTGATGTCTGGCTAGATGATCTGCAGCTTTTCCTTCAGTGCGATAGCAAGGATGGACTCTCCCTGTTTGACCTTACGTCGGGCGCCTCTACTGCCCCTGCTGCTAATACTGACAGTACCGTTCGCTCGCAGTGGCTCACGCGCGATGCTGCTGCCCGCCTTGCTGTGCGCAGTCACCTACCGTCTACTGAGCGCGCGCACTTTAGTCAGTACAAGAGTGCTACGACGCTGTAGTTGCACGCTACTCTTCCCCTGCCACTGCTGCGCTCAGCCGCCTCATGCTACCGTACCTGTTCCCTGACCTCGCTGCCTTTGCCACAGTCACTGACCTCATTACGCACCTCCGCACTAGTGACACTCGCTACCGCGCTGCGCTTCCTGCTGAGTTCTGCGCTCAGAACCCCCCCCCCGTGTACATCACCCTCTACTACCTAGTCACTCGACTCCCTGACACTCTCCGCTCGGTCAGGGACCACTTCCTCTCTCTTTGCCCTACCACCCTCACTGTCGACCTCCTCGAGGAGCGCCTCCTTGCAGCAGAGACTAGTATTACCGCTGTAGGCGCCTCTCGTGGTGACCCCCGTACCCCTTTCTTTGAGGGGTGCTCCCCCGTTCCTCTTTTGCCCTCTGTTGCCTCTGCTGCTGCTGTCGACCTTGTTGGCACCGAGTCGGTCAGCGCTGCGTCTGCTCCTAGTGAGAGGCGCCGCATCAGCAAGGGCAAGCGGGGCAAGGGAGCTGGAGGAGGTGGTGGGGGCGGCGGTAGTGGCGGT